CATGTCTTGAAGTTCTGCAGAGGCTGATAATGAACTCATCATCTTCTTCTGTGCTGACCCAGGGTGGGATCCTGCAGGACACCGGCCCTCGAGGCCTGGAGTTCCCCACCTTTGCCCTAAGTTTTAACTACTTAAACTATTTCACGTTTTTTAGACTTTGTGTTTGCAGGAGAGAATTCTTGAAACTATAATTACTGTCATACAGTTGTCTTTGGCCTTAATCACTCGATTATTATATTCATCCCTGCTTGAACTGAATATGAAAAAAATAGTTCCTAAGATTTGGGAGAATGGGACTGATTGGTGTGTACATAAGGACGGACATAGTATGCTACCTCAGGTCACAGCACGGAGCCATAAACTAGTTTTATTAAAGACTAGCAGAGGCTTTAACACCAGAGAGGTTTCTCTTTGAAGCTTCTTCTGTGAAGCCTGAGTGAAAAGTGCTCAAAGATCTATTTCAAGCTATCATAATGTGTGCATGTGTTGCATACGCGTGTGAGTTTGTGTGTGCGTGTCTCCAAGTGTATGTGTCACGGCGCCCTTGGACACGGGCTTGTGGAATGTGTTGAGAGCAAGGGAAAACACTGGGTTGCCACAGCAACTGGCGAAGAGAAACAGATTGGTGGGTGGGTGGGGCGCAGTCAGAAGAGCAAGCAAAAGACCAGAAAAAGATACGACGGGACAAGTTTGACATGATCCCAGCACAGGATTAGAGGGAAAAGCTGAAAGGATATGGGTGACGACGAGGGGCGAACTTTATTGATGTGGGTAGGATGTTGCTCTGGTTACTTTGTGGGGAAGTCAGATGCAGAGTGTAAACACAGCTCATTCTGTTTCTTGTCCACTGTCACGTCTCCATTTTGCCTTGAAAAATCGATCTTCTGCCCTCTTTCCCGTTTTACGCCTTGTCTTCAACTCTTTGCGTTCACTTCAGAACCTGTTATAATCCTGCAACCCTTCTGTAACACACGTTACTTTAACCTGATACGTAGTGCAGCATAGAAATCTTGTTGTAGACACTTTTCAAAAACATAAACTGCTACATTGTTGCCTGGGAACACTTTGGCGTCTCCCAGAGGAGCTTTAGGTGGTGGAGGAGGTCTGCCTGCCGTCCATGACCTGCATAAGTGGTAGAAAATGGACAGCTGGACGGTGGCTGGGTGGACGGATCGACTCTGTACAAATAACATGTAGCACGCCTGAGGCTGCTCACTTTACCTCGAAATAGAAACGCAATACTTTGATATATTAAACCCTCCAACACACACACACGTTTGTATGGCTGACCTTGACTCCTCACACTACTGCGTTTCCAAAATGTCCTCATTTCAATAGTCTAACAAAGACACACACACACACACCATATCCTGATCAATAGGTGTATTGTTATTTCAGCCTCTACATGGAGTATCAAAAGCAGCGCTGTGATTAAAAATACATCCCCGCCTTTGGATAAGGTTAAGGTCACCTGCATGTGTTCTTCACAAATCTGAGCCGCTCACACAGGAGGACAGATATTCTGTCATCGTGACATCATCACCACTGTGACATCATCACCA